GAAGGTGTCCCTGCCCATGGCAGGGGCATTGGAACTAGATGATCTTTAAGATGACTTCCTACCCAAGCCATTCTATAATTCTGTGATTGTGAGTAGTTTAGACTTCTCCCTCCAATTAATATTATTTTGTGTTTAAATCACTAAGGATGACCTGCATTTGCCCTGTCAGCTCTTCAGTACTCTTCTCCAGCTATCAGTGCTGTCCCCCACAGCTGGAAGTAAGTTTTGGCTTAACTAAGTAAACTTTGATCATCAAAGTTTGCAAATTTTGGTGCTCATCCCTCTTTCTAGATATATCATGCTTGTGTTGGAGCCTACTTTGCACGAGTGCCAATCCCCTGAAAACAGGCCCATTAGAGAGCAGCAGCATTCATTAATCCTCTAACATATAATGCAGACCACAAGGAGCTTTCCAAGGGATTTGGCAGGGGCAGGCCATGCTTTGACTGTGTTTGTGAAAGATCTGTTGTCTGAATGGAGTCACCTCAGATTTCTTGCCCCTAGAGAAAAAACCTCTACAGCACACACATGGAAGGGATCATCAAGCATTTACAGAGGCCACAAAGGTTTGGGATTTCTTCAAAAAGTTGGTAACGAGATTGTGTAAGAATCAAATAACCTTGCAAATAGCTGTATCCCATTAGTCATGAGAGCAAATGCTGGGCTGAATTAAATGTTTATTGTGTCTTATGAAGTGTCTCTGTACACATAACCTTGGGCAAGACCCAGAAATTCTGGGCTCTGCATTTGAAAGGCAGCTGGCTAAATAGGCATGGCAAAACAATCAAAAGAGCACTGTTTATTTGCTCAATACATTAACCAAGTGATTAGCTGAGAAATGGGAGAACCAGAAGAAAGAAGAAATATTTCCCTTTGTCAATGCAGTCTATTTTTCAGACTTTCCACCAGCATTATACATTCCTGGAAAACAAAACTAAGCTCAAAATACTTCAATTCAATCATAAAAGCTTTCCCCAAACTGAATGATCAGCTCAGTGCATTGCTCAGACCTTCATGTAGCTCTTACTCCCTCTGTCATAAAGTTTGAAAGGCAGTGAGATAATCATGCCTAACTTACAAGCCTGTCTTATGAGAACTAAACATTAATTCAAGAGTTCTGGAGGACTTCAAGCAACCAAACCTTGGTACCTTCTTGTAATTTAGTTATTCCTGTATCTCTCTTTTAGCATCTGAGACTTCCACAGGTGACTGCTTCTGATACCAGACAATGAGTAAATCTGCTGTACATTGTGTCATTCTTGATGTAAGTTGGTTCAAATAAAATATTTAATTCTGTTTGAGAATTCTTACTTTCATTTGTTCCCTCCTGGTTGTCCAGGCTCCCCACTCAGTCCTTCCTAAGTTACTGTACCTCATATTCTCAGACACTAATTATTTGCAAATTCTTTCCACAGACCTCCTACCTGCTGTGGTTACCGTGCTCTTAGCTTTGTAGCACACAGAGAAAGAATGTTGTTCTTCCTCTGTAGGACAATTATAGAGAAATATTTTTCACCTGTTTATCTACTGAATCTCTAATTAATGTTATATCACTTTCAGAAGATCACATACAGGTAACCCAGGAATCCCCACACTGCTGGAAACAAGCTGGAAAACAAGTGCTTACAGAGTGTGTGAAATGCTAATAAGCAATCCTGAATTTCTCACTTCAGGTGTAGAACAGGACTGATCCTCTAAGGGCCATGAAGATAGTGAGGGATAGAGGTCAATGCACTGGACTTAGGGCCATTTGAGGCACCATAGGATGCCTTTGCTGTCCACCAATTTCTGCTCTCAGTGCCCCATCAGTCTCCTGTGTCATCTGCGAGGTCTGTGCAGATGTGCCCAAGATTCTCAGCTGTCTAAGTGACATTATAGAGTATCTCTGGGCCTTTGCCCCCACCATGGCCTCCACTGGGTTCAAATCCTGATCGTATCAAAGCCAGATTTAGTACTACCTTTGGATCTGCACTTGGGCTTTGGGCACCAAATCAGCATGAATTTACTGTCTTGGAACACAGCACAGCCACAGCACCTGCCTGTGTGTCAAGTCTGGATGTGCCCATACAAGCAGTAGCACACAACCAGACCTGCAATGAGGAGGGACGGGGCAGGGAGTGTCAGTCCACCCTTTGGGCCTGTAAGCAAGGGATGAATTAGGCTGGTAGCTGCCACCACCTGTGCATGGTGAGGACCAGAGCACAGCACTGCAGATGTGTGAGGTGCGATATTAGATCAGGGGGTTATTAAATGAGTCAGATGTGGGTAAGACTTGTTAGAACTAAACTGACCCAGGGCTGTTCTCTAGACTGAGGAAAAGAGCGGTGTTCTTATGGGAAGAAGGTCTAGGCTATCAGGAGCCAGGCAGGAGCATCTCTGTAAAAACATGTAGAAAACAACACCCTATCCTTCAAGTACACTCAGCAATGAAAACAGCACTTCTACTGATTAAAGCATAACAAATGTAATGAAAAACATAGTAAGCCATTAGTGGCTGCTACCTGTTATGCATTTGTTTTAAGCCCTTTGAATGTTGATAACTGTTTTTCCCTTCTAGAAAATCTCTCTACATTATTGCTGTTTCCCTTACTCACCACATTTGCAGTCATCATTTGCAAATTCAAGTAATGAATTCATGAGGAGTCTGGATGGCATAATAATGCTATCTTGCACACTAACACAGCTACCACCCAGCAATCCCAAGATGCTTAACCTTTGCAAGTGGATTAAACCTTGAAGTGTTGTTCTGCTTTGTGACAAGAGAGTGAAAGTCCCTACAGGCAGAACAGAAACCCTTTAGGGCACTGTATTTCTGGGTCTCTGGGGCATGAGTGTACAAGTCTATTTGGTACCAACCCAACGCCTCTAGGAAGTGTCAGATCTGCTCTGCATGACTGTGCAGACAATCTGCACATGTTCTGTAGATCTGCCCCACCGGCATGTGTTTGGCTCCCAGCACATAGCACACAAACTGGGTGTTGCACACGCAGAAGGGTACAGTAGTTTGTAGTTTCACTGCTTCCACACAGCAGTCCAGTGCTCAGGATATGTGCATAAAGTCCACCCAGTACTTCCAAAAACATCAGAACAGCTGATAGTGTGAGCAGTTTGTGCAAGACAAAGCAGGGACTATCATCCTTTGCTGTATATGTTCACAGAAGGATAGAACCCTATGAAATTACTCTCCTGGAAATGTTGGACCCCGTTGCTCACGTGTTATGCAGCAGATCTATGCATGTGTTATAAAAATGTCAAGGGGATTCAGCTGTCTGGCATCCTGCTCAGATTCCTAAGTACAAAAAGAGCCATCAATAACCAAGATGCACATTAGTTCTAATCAGAGCACAGGGAAGCAAAAGAGGAGCAGGAGATTGTTAAACTGTTCGCCATGAAACATTTAACAGTAGAGCTTCGTTATAAATCTGCCTGACTTCACTGATAGTACATCAATCAACACAATAAAACTGATATTAATGTGTTTTTTATGAAAGGACTAGCAAAGTGAGTTGTCTTACTCTCAGACAACACTAAAATCAGGTCAATAAGGATATCTACAATTCTAAGCACTTGAACAACTCCAAAAGGACCAACCATACTTTTACTTATCTTGCTGAACTGGAACCTAATTCAGAAAGCAGAACCTACTACTACCAGAAATATACAGTATTCTATGCATTTTCCTCCACACACTGAACTGGGAAGCAAAACATTGATTTCTAGCACATACCCTATTCCAACATCACTGATGCATCCAGATGCCTGCTGCAGTGTAAATGTTCACTGAATTATTGAAACCCTTGTAATGTTGTAAAGGAAAATGTTAATCTTAACAAGACCAACACAAATGCCTGCAAACCCAAGAAATCAATTGTAAATAGATAGATAGAAAAAAATGTGTCTTTATTTTCATTTCAGTGATCTGTGTGGCCCTGCAGTGAACTCTAATTTTGAAAGGAATTAAATAATGTTTTGCAGCTGGTCAGAAAACACAAATCCATTTCCAGAATTTTTGAAATGTCGCAGATGTTGTCCTGGTATTACAGTGAGAAAAAAGCCAACATATTTTTGAAACTATTTAGAAAAAAGAAAGGTATTTTCTAATAGTACTCAAAGCTTTACCTGAAATATTAAATGCACATACTCAGCCATCACAAAACCTACAAATGTCATGAATCTGTTTATTACTGAGAAGGATTATCTGAAATGTACACTGTCTTACAGTGCCAGACAAAATGCAGTAAATTCTTCCTGCAAGGGAGCTGCATAAGTTTCATCATGTGGTGCCCCTCATGTCTGCTTAGGAAAAAAAAAAAAAAGGAAATAGAAAATTTGCTTCTTTAGCCAGAATTTTGTTTAGGGAGTGAGAGTCTAGGGCAGATAGGCAAAGATTGAACCAGTTCCTTCCAGCCATCTATCTCTGCTGTATCCAACTCTGGAAACTGCTGTATTCCAACTCTACAGCAATATCCCCCTGTGCCAGCCCACAGGAATGTCATGGAGGAAGATAATACTCCCAAGGTCTCTACATTTTTGGTGTCAAACAGAAGTGGGGTTTAGAGGTTGGCTGGAGGACAGAAACAGGAGCCAGGGTGCCCAGGAAACCAAGGCAAACTGAAGCATTGCTTCTCCTGCACACTTCCCAAAATAGGCAATGAAAGGCACAGGTTTGGGGAGAAGTTTATGTGTGTCATATCACACCACACAAGTTCAAACACAGCTACGTGCAAACTGTGCCATGCCTATGCTGCCGGCAGACCCAATCATTAAGGTACGACCTTGGAATGTTTTCCGTGATGCTGCTCACTAGGACAGCCAGCTTGGAGCATCCAGGTGAAAAGCAGCTTCTGAAATGGTGTCTGTTGTCTTGAACATTTTCAGGAATGTAATGCAACATTATACATCAAACTATATGGTTTTATTAAAGTATCATTCGTTGCCTTGATCCTTTCTGAAGAAGGTCTACGTATTTGAGGACCAAAATATCCTGCCAATGAAGATTATTTTTCTCCTGGTAGGAATCCAAGCATCAAAATGTAGGTTTTTGTAGCTGTGGTGAGTAATCTGTCAGCAGGGAAACCATGACAGCCTAGAGGAGGAAGAAAAGAAAAAATCCAATCACATTGGAAAGAGATACTCCATAAAATAAATAAGGGGAAATATTTTCCAGCTCTGAAACCTTGTGTTGAAAATTATTGTCCTGACAAAAACTGCACACTTAGATTTATTTGCTAGAATTTCTGATGATGAATCAGGAAAGAACTGAATATCAGTTCAGATGCTAGGTATTGTAGCTGACAGATTTTCTCAGTGTGCATGAAATATATTAATGGACAGCTTAGGAGCAATTCAGACAGGCATTTAGATCAAATGCTGAGGGGTTTTTTTGTCATGTTGTGTTGTATTCTCAGTTAGTTCTAGGAGATGCTGTAGGTACCCAGACATCACATGGGCTTGCTTGTGGACTTCAGCAGAGCTTCCATTAGCATCAATGAGAGCCTCATTAGAATAAGGACTTTGAAATTTATCCCGGTGTAGCTATACTTTCTGTGGCAAGACATGGAAAATCCTTGCTGAGGTTGATTGTGTGTCATCTACCCCTCCTGAGCTCCCTGTCCAGCCTTGGGTTTGGCTGTGGAATGAGAGTAATGGGAATGTCAGCTAAGTGAAACATGGTGTTGCAGCAGCTCTGCTGCCCATCCCACACCTGTGTACATAACAAGCCCTGTGCTTGCTTAGCTTCGACAAGGCATTACCTGGTTCACACTGTTGTGATTTCACAGCAGTGTCTGACTGCAGATTGTTATTTTGGCCCAGAACTGGATTTGTGAGTGTTTTCCAGGGGTTGTGATCTTGTTGCTTGTCCTGCCTTTCCCTTCAGCACTGCTCAGTGTGACAGGGCATCCCAGGCACACTGAGGTGAGTGAATATACAGCTGTGCAGCCCCTCAGTGCTGACCATGTCACAGCTGCGCTCAGCCCTGCTTGGATCTACAGCCAAGCAAATAATTTATTCTTCAGTTTGCTCTCTGAGCTGAAAGTGGTAGAAAATACAATAGAAAGAAGACCCATACATTCATTATTTTTATAGCTTGGGAAAAATACAGAGATGACATTTTTCTTACGCCCACAAAAAAAAGTGCATCTGGAACTTAAAGTAAAGGCTTCCTTTTCTTTTTTAAAAAATAATATTTAAAGCAATTAGAAACATTGTAAAATAAAAATGAAAAAATATGAGCATTTTGTTGAATTTTGAGACCAAAGATGTGAATTTAACACTAATTTGCTAGTAATTTTAACCATGTCCCAAATCTGAGTTTTTAGTAAACACAATGCTCAACCCGTTATTTCTTCCCTTGTAGCATATCTAGAATTCATCTCAGAGCTATGACAACGACATTTCTGGGTTTTTTTCCCCTCTGAAAGTTTTCACTATCTTTTGTCAACATGATGGTTCTAAAGCCAAAAATAAATTACAGGCTACTGAGATCTGGCAGTAATTTTATGAAATTCTAGGAATGCTGACAGGGGAGTTATGGTTTATGTTAATTGCCAAGTGTCCTCTCATGGTTCCCATGGATTACACAGTATTACCCACACTATAACTTTTCAGGGTCTTTCAAACATATGCTCTTCCAGCACTTTCTCAGGGAAAGTTCCCATTGGTGTCAGCAGCAGTTTTTCCTAAGAGAAAATAACTAGCTTTTAAGTATATGGGAAACTAGTTTCTAAGGCCAGTCCCTGAGACCTCAGCATTTAACATGTTTTAAAATTGACCATTTGAGTTGGCAGTTAGAGTAAATCCAGTGATTTAAATACCAAAACATTACAGTTTATACTGTAGATTTCACTTAGTGGTAAAAGCTGGGTCAAGCAACAGCAGATCATTATTAAAATAGGTCACATTTGTGTCCAGAAGTATTTGTGCTACAGATGTACATGTTGCCTATAGTCCAAATTGTCATGTGCTCTGGGGTACATTTGAAACATAACTTTTAACATTTACTATTTATCAAGGAATCAAGCTGAATTTAAGCCTGCAATGCAAGGTAGAACAGAAGCTGACCCTCCAACTACTGATATCTTCTGTTTTTACCATAATTGTCCATTTTCTGTTTTCAGCCTCCTGGAAAACCAGTGATCGTGGGGAATAAAATACTTCATCATCAACTTCTTCAGGTTTTCTGGGTAAACAATGTAAAAAAGTCCAGTTGGAAGCAGCAGATTTTGCAGTCTGTAGATGAAAAAGCATATGAAAATAAAGACATATGTGAGGACATTAATAAAATCTTTAACAAGTAAAATGTTAAATTTTGTATTAACTCCCACTCTGGTTATTTGGATGATGAACTAAGAAGAATTCCACAGACTTCGAAAGAATTCCTCGTTTGTGAATAAGATGGGAATATGTCCATTCAGGTTGGTAAGAGTTCAATACTGGCTTGACATAAGTCCGATATTCACTCTTATTTCTTTGGCTTTAGAAGGGGAGTAAAAACTCTGGTGATCTAGAGGATCAATAGAGTGCAATCCTTTTTGAATGCCATACAGTAATATAACACTATCTATAATTGCAACAAGAACATACTAAACAATGATTTAAAAGGCTGTATATTTTCTCATTTTATATTATCACTCATTATATATTGATCTAATGCCAAGGAAAAATGAATTAAATTTTAGGCCAGAGACATGTCCATCAACAGCATTTAGTGAACTTACGTTAAAGTGCAGACACTTAAACAAGTGATTTTATCAGGAAGGAAAATGTCCTTTTTATCTTGGACGATTAGTAGGTTATGATTTTCTCTAACTGATTTTGTGCTGACAAACATTTCAACTAGATGAATTTAAAGAGATATATTTAATATATATATATATTTAATGATTTATTCATTGACAGATATAGACAAATGCTATCCAGGCATTTAAGAGTTAATCTGTAAGCTTCTCATTCTAAATAAAATAAAAAGGATCATTTCTGGTAACAAAGAGGAGATGCAAAATTAGAAACAGTTTTTAGGCCATAAAGAAATAAAGGATTAGCTCTGCTGCACATGTTCTGGAGCTAGGTCTCATTGGGAAGCTCTGAAAGAGGCCAGGCCTTGTGAAGTGTATAAGATAACTCAAACTTTGTTATCCTTGTGAGTTTTTTAAGCGGGAGGGAGGCCACACTCAAAAAAATACCAAACTCATTCTTTGTTGATGTTGATTCTTATAAATGCAAACAGTAAAAACATAAACAAAAACCTAAATCTCAACTTTTACCTGCATTGTAATTTGATAACCTTGAAAGGCCTTTAGTCTTTCTTTCTTTTCCTCTTCTTGTCCCATACTTATCCACGTGTCTGTAACTAAGACATTAGCATTGTCTGCAGCTTCTAAAGGATCTGTTGTCAGAAGAAACTTGGTACCATACTAATGTGAATAAAATAAAGAAGATCAGCAAGACAAGGAACTTCATTTATAATGAAAATAAACTCTATTCAAACGATTCTACTAGGTTATCTTTTAGGTTCCTACCTCTTCAGAGTATTGTTCAGTTATTTTAGTTATTCTGAGGTCTGGTTCAAAGCCCTGCCAAAAGAGATAACATACCATGGAACATGTAGAAGATTTTACTGCTTATTAATGCTTGTTAGAAAAATACTGATCAAACCATTTGCCATGGGAAAAAGAATGTATTTCAGAACTGTAAAACTTGGGGAAATTATGTTGGTTTTGTTGAAAGTTTATTTTGGAGATAAAGTGGTGGAAAGTGTTCTGATAAGGTAAGAAAAATGTATTTTACTAGTTACAGAATGAAATACTTATAAATAATTTAATTTTTTGTACTAAACTGAGTATTTGTTTTGTGTTTTATATTGTATTACAATGCAATACTCTAAGACACTACACCATCCATCTGAACCAAGCAAGATGCAACGCTTCCACCAATCTGAAACAAGTTTCAATTTTCTGGGGGAGGACAGAGGGCACTGGATGACTTTGTAACACTTTATCAGATGGAATTTTAATTCATCATTGTTTATGCTGCTGTCATGAATTCCCCTCAGCCTTTCTGAAGTTGGACTTTGTAGAACTACTCCTGCTTTGCATCAAAATAACTGGATCAGGATTTTGAACCTTGGTTCTGAAAACTGGCACTCAAAACAGGTGCAAGCATCACCAGCTGAGGCTCTTGGCAAACACCTGAGTGGTCGAGACAAGAATGGGCAAAGTTTGCCTTCCTGCCTCCACGTGCAGGACTTCCTTACCTTGGGAGTGGCAATATGCAGGTGCATTCCCAGCTTTGCAGCACTTGTCATGATGGAGTGGAGGACATTGTTTCCATCCCCAATCCAGGTGATAGTGAGTCCATTCAGCCCACCATAGTGCTCCTGCCAAAGGAATCAGAAGCTCTGGGGTTATGTTCCAGATGAGCTCAGCAAGATGATGGGTGAGAGGGATTGATCAGACAGGTCTGGTGCAAAGGCAGCTGGCTACCTTCAAATGCTACCTGCATGGAACAATACCTGGAGTTTACTGCACCTACAGGATGGTCAGGGAGGGAAAGCCCCCCATGTTTTACAGGAAGGCCCGAGTGTGGCAGCTTCCTCCAGTACTGGGAGCTGGAACAGGCTCCCCAGGGAAGTGATCACAGCACCCAGCCTGACAGAGTTCAAGAAGCATTTGGATGATACTCTCAGGCACATGGTGTGACTCTTGGGGATGGTCCTGTACAGGGCCAGGAGTTGGACTCAGTGACTCTTTTGGATCCCTTCCAGTTTGGCATATTCTGTAATTCTATGATGCCACACGATGAGGGCCAGGCTGAGAGATACAGCACCACACACGCAGTAACTTTAACACCAAAGCTGTACTGCCATTTTTGGTGCTAATAAACATCAGTGAGTGGTAGACATTCCTAATTTAAAGATAGTCCTAATGCCTAGAATAGAACTCCTTCCAGCTTTCCCCCAGACTGTACAAATATCCCTATTCAGGTTTGCTCTGGCTTGGTTGTCTCTACATGATGTTCTCCGTGGCCATGGCAGTGGCCTTGCCCTTGGAGTGCATTTTCACCATCACAGCTGCACAGGACAGAAAAGAGCAGCACTCTGAAAGCATCTGTGCCACTCATGGCCTGCAGGGTTTGTTCTCCACTGTAAAGCCAAAGAGGGCAGGGTTTTGTTTACAAGTGTGGATTGCCCAAACTTGAAACAGCATTACAGAATTAACTATAGCTTTGCCTGATGGCCATTACAGCCTGTTCATGTGCAGTTACTCTGACCCTCAAGTCCAACAGATAAGGCTTAAGGAGGAACAAGAATAACAGGAGTTCCAGAGCAGGACAATTCAAGACTCTTTAACAAGCTTTGTTTTAAGTATGCATGTTTATAGGTACTTAAGTTGATATCAAAAGGTTTGTGAAGATATAATCAAGTACTTCTGTATGCCTGCTCTGTATAACTCTACCTCATGGCTTGAAGGACTTTCTGGAGAGCCTTTTATTCTTAGTTCAAAACTGGGTCATGCTACAATTGCATTGTAGTAGCTGGAAGCCAGACAGTGTTTCAACACTTTGTGTGACATGATTCAATGCTTGTCAGAGAGGATAAGCATCCACATTGTAGAGCTGTACTAACTGGCAACCTTGCAGGAGTTGCAGAAAAGATGCCAAAAGACTGAACAGGAAGAGGGCGGGGACTACCCCCTCCTCTCCTGGCAGCAGCTTCTCCTAAACAAATAGTTGTGAAGTCAATCCAGAACAAAGTTCTTGGCATTTCTGCCAGGGACCACAATTTTGAATCAAAAATATTAGTACTTGGGATACTGAATTATACTAAAACACTGTAAAAATCTGAACCTAGTAGAGTCCTAAGCTGACTAGGTTTAAGGGTTAAAACTACAGTATTGCAAAACTATCACTTTTTCAGTTGAAGTTTCTTAGCAGCAGACTCATTGGCAAAGGTTTGATGCAAGGGCACTTACAGGAGACCAAATCAGGACTTTGTGAACTTGGAAGTTATTTCAGTATAATGGTTCTTCATGTCTCTAAGGATCTTTCAAAGTCCTTCCACATCTCCTAGCAATGGTACTCCTAGGAGAAGGTCAAACTGAAGCATTTATTTAAGGTGTTGTTTCAATCTAGGGCTCAGTGATAGCTGAGAATGAACCCACAGCCAGAAGCAAATGAGACAGTCCTGAGTTCTTTTCATCTTGCTGTTTAAAAATAGACATCACAGCCTGTAATGCTCAAAGCACTGACTAGAGTCACAAATATACTGCTATGTTAAACAACTTCCACCTTATTGCCAGCTGCTACTCTGCATTAAAAGGAGCACAGTGCATGCTAAATACTTTTCTCTGTTTTCCCAAGCTACTAGCTGTTACAGATAAAATATGAAGTACTGGAGATGTCTGTATAATGATCCTTGATATACATTGCAAATTGCAAAGTCACATCTGCAGTGATTACTGTGTAGAGTGGACATAGCTGAACTGATCTTAATGAAGATGTTTTGCTAATGGCTGGAGCCACATACGAGGCAGAGTCAAGCTGTGTGTGTGCTAGCAGAGCCTATTTTATATCCTGTGCTTTGTGCCCTGGTGCACTGCTGCCGTAACTCAAACCTCTTTATCTAAGAGAAGCTCACTGTGACTGTGACTGTACTGCTTATATGCACACATCCTCAGATTCCATGAAAGATGAGATAACTGTGTTGGTCAGAAACAGAAAGCTTTGAGGCAATAAAAAAACTATATGAGACATACTTCACACTTCCCCCCCCCCCATTTTATGGTATGTTCTTATAAAACCACACAGATAAAATCCTGCTAAAAGTGTTTTGCCATGGTGGTAACGCTCTAGGTTAAATCAGAACCTTTACAACACCTGCTGCTCACCAAAGCCTCTGAAGATATTTTCCCCCTTGCACCTCTTCCCAGTTTTTCTGAACTCTGTTATGTTGATGTAGGCTTTATACCTGCTTGGGTATTCTGCAGTTTCTCTTTACATTTGGAACATGACTTCAAAATATTTACACTCCTTGTAAAGCCACCAAAACTTTAACATATTTAGAAAGCCTAGAGTCCTTCTCCCTTATGGATGCTTCTTTGGCCAAATAGTGATTGCCGCTTAAGTACCATAAAACATGGCTTTGCTATTCTCATGAAAAATCCCTGCTAAATGATTAATGCTGATTTTACATTCAACTTTCTCATCCTCATGTTGTTTTTACAATATTTCATTCTGTTCTTATCCATGGGTGCAGTGTACCAGTGTATTGAACCCTAGGAAAAAGTAAGCATGCTCAGTGTTTTGGCACTGCTGTATTTATGGAGAAGACTGGGTTAACTAATTAGGGACATTTGTGTCTGTCTCTGCCTGGACTTGCTTCCAGTGAGGCTGAAACTCTGACACCATTATAGATTAATTCTGAATTGTTTGACCACAACTGTCATAACAACCCTCAATTAAAACAAGCTTTTGAATAATGAATCAATAATCTGTCAAATTTTAAAATGGAAAGCTAGGGACTAATCAAAGCTTTAGCCCTTTGGCATACAGTGCAATCCAGCAAAGGAGAAACTGGGCAAACTTGGATCTACTGGCTCTCAAACTGCTTAAGGCAGATGCCAGGCCAGTTATCTTTCATATTCCCACACTGGTTTTTGTCATGGTTGTTGAAACAGTATATACTAGAGGGTCATTCCAAATCTTAGTTGGGATTTCTAATTGTTAGAATAATAATGATGATGATGGTGATGAATTTGAAGACTACAGTAATTTGAGGTCTTTGGGTCACACATTGAGGAGAAGTTGAGAATATATGGCAGCTCTCTTTAAGCTGGGTACCACTATTTTGTTATGCTGTTTAAAAAGAAAGCTCTGATGCATTTCTTATGCCAACCATTGCTTTCTGAAAAAGCAAATTCCCTCCAGACCAGTGACATAAAAAGCTAGTGGCATATGGATCCACTTTAATTATCAGTCTGGCCATCCTGCAGTCAGCTACAAGTTAGCTGATTTGGCCAGTGACATTAATATCAATTGAATCGATGTCAATACACAGCCTGTGTCTGGAATATAAATTGTGTGATGCTGCCCTCCAGCCAAGCTGAGCAGAGCAGAAGTTGTGAGCCACAGCTTCTGCCTGGGACACTAAATGGAATCAGCACGTGGCTGTTAAATGTCTTCAGCGCAAGCAGAGAAGTAAAGTCCTCGCTGTGTGCACACTACCAGCACACAAACTCATAGCCTTTAAAGGCCAAGTCCCCAAACACTCAAAATTATGTTGTTTACATGTTTACAGACATTTTTAGTGGGATTTAACTCAAAAGCAGACTCAGTTCAACAGAACTTTTAAGAAAAAAGGTGGTATATAGATAAGAAAAACATTTCTCTTGGCATAATAGAGGGTTTTAACCCAGACCACAGTATTAAAGGGCAGAGCCAGATTATAAATCAAACATATGAGGGGCTCCAGGTTGCTCAGGAGGAAGGCACTGGAAGAGGATGTTGAACCTGAGCAATCTCACCCAGTATTCATGACAGGAGCACATTCTACGATCTGAAAAGAACACCCTGAATACAGAATGAGAATTGACAGCCCTGAAAATGAACCAGCTGCATTGTTTGGGGAATGCAGTGGACTATACTAAAATAACCACACTAAAATGCACTTATGAAAAGGGAATCAGAAGCTGTAAGCAAGAAAATATTTTGACACAAAAAACCAGGCAATTATGCAGTTTCAGACCAAAGAAAAAGCGCTTGAAGAGGATTCAAGAAGGCACAAGACAGGTATTACGGTATAGAAAATGGAAGAATAAAAATGTGCTAAGCATGAAGAGGGCCAGAGTGTATGTACTGCTCCACTGGCAAATGCATCAGAAACAAAAAGAAAAGAAAAAAAAGTACATTTTGGTTATTTAGTGACAGTAGGGAGGAGCAGGAAAATATTTACAGGGATAAAAAAGAGACATTTTTTTGAGAGAAACAAGCTGCACAAAATCTGTAATTACATTTAAATATAAGGCTACCAGTCTGTGCCCCATTGTCATGTATAAATCAAATAAATTGCCTTTGCATTGCAGGGAAGCAGTCCAAGTGTTATATATGGACTTCCAACTCACTTAGAGAAGCAGTGGGACTATTCCACATCCCTGTATTAATTTTCTTGCAGGCAGTACTTGGATAACATCTTGCTGAAAATCCCACAAGAAGTTTGATAATGGTAAGTAGCAACTAGACCCTACAAGAGATGTTGCTACATCGCTTCAAGTGTTAATCTTACTTCTGTGACCTAGTAAAGTTCCTCATATGATTAAAATGCTGGTTTAGTACATGCCACTGACTGTAAGACCAATTTTTTCCACCTTGCTGTACAGTGGAAGGAGGAAAACAGGGAGTAGACTGGTAGGTCAGGAAGGGAAAGCACAGGCAGTGCCAACACACACACTGAGCTGCTGAGACCTCCCCCAGCCTGCCACTCTCTCCTCTTAAAAAAACAAGAATGGAAAGTGTGTCAGCAACCAGCAGAGCAGCATGCCCTTGGTAAAGTGGGGCAACCACCTAGTTGCCCTCTAAAGACCTCCTGACAAACTCTGGGCTGAGGAACATGATAGAGAGAATCAGGGAGAAATGGGCAGAGTTGGAGGAAACACTGCTCTGCTTATCAGGCTGACTGTGAAAGTGCTGCAAATTTGAAAAAAGTTCTGTGGCTGTCCAAGGGCTGTGCACCTGCTGTTGCTGCTGCTCAGGTATTCAAACCAAGGAAGAGTCCAGGCTGCGGGCTCATGTTCACCTGGAGCTTCCCCCATGGCTGCCCCATACAAGGACACAATGCAGGAGGAGCAGAGGGTGAGTACAGGGTATGTATTCATTCCACTGCTCTCCATAGGTTTCCCTCTAAGATCGGTGGAAAAAGAGCTGCACCTCTAGAAGCTGATTGAGATGCTCAGTGGTCTCTCTTCATTGACTGGAGGTGGAGTAGAGGACAACAGTGCTCTGAACCTGGGTGCTGTAATCACTGGCCTGGATAAAACCAGGTTTGGGGGCAGAGATACCCATATTTGTGTAGACTGTGAGTCACAGGTTATTCCTGAAGCCTGTTATTCACAAGTGATATAATGCTACTTAATAAGGTGTTTGCAAGACAGAACACACTGCAAAACGGAACCATAAGATTCTCCTGGTTTACAGTTGTACACAGTGTTTAGAATGAAATTATGACATTCTCATCACAACTTATTGTGTTATGTAATTTGAACACTGAGTCTGGTTCAATGTGATCTCACAAATCTCCCTTATCCTGGGGTATGAGAAACATCTTAGTCTGAAGCTCACCAATTTTTGCTGACCTCTTCACCTTGAGTATTAAAATTTTACAAAAAATAATGATAATTAAAATTAGAAAAAAAGCAATTTTCACTAAACACACGAGTCTTTCAGTATTTAAAATTTAAAGCATAAATAATTTAATATTACTCTCACCAGGTCTTTCTCACTTAATGAATGTCCCATAGCAAAGTCTCCGACAGCTGAGAAACAGCCAAATGAATCAAGAAATTATTCTACCCTCCCATTTTCAAGCAGTGTGATTTTTATTCATTCAGAAAACAAACAAGGTCAGAGGAGTTCATCATAGTTGTCAACCAACACTGCAGTATAATAATAATAATCTTTTTTATAAGCCAGATCCTCAACTGATTGTAAAACCACATAGTCCTTCTGTTCACAGATAAACATCTGGTATTCTATGTGAAAAAATGTTATCCTGCTGTCAAACCAACTATTGCATTAGATAAAACTACAAAATAAAATCTTTTTTAACAGCTCTTTGATGTGAACAAAGTTTAAATTGGTTCAAGTGCCAGAACACTAAGATTTTGCATTGGTAGCAATAACTGACTTTTCAAAACAAATTTGTTCAACCAATCTCCTAATATATGGATACTGATTCTTTTTAAACTGTTCATAGATTAGTGAGGAATCAAGAATGAACTAGTGAGGTTTTTTAAGTCAGTGGAAAAACTTCCACTGGCTTTGGCTGAGCCAACTTCTCACCTTTATCTTAATATGTAAAGCTCCCCGCACGTTTTTCGTGTATGTGGAATTGCAGCCTAATTCCAATGAAATAATTAATTTTATGCTTAACTTTACTTCCACTACAGCTGATAGGACTACATAATTATTTTAAACTAAACAGGTCCTTAATTATATTGCTGGATGAAGATTTCTTTAAATTACAAATGCCATGCAATTACCACTTAGAAAAACTTAGGAATGAATGGTTTTGAACCTGACTTCCCCAAATACTTACCAAGGCTAAGACTTAGCAAGAAAAAAAAAAGAAAAATTGGTTATATTGTTACCTGAAGGGTTAGGTAATCAGCTAAAATCTGGAGAGGATGATATAAGTCGGACAGTCCATTGATTATTGGGATCGTGGATTCTTTTGCCATTAGGTCCAGATCATTATGCTTATAAACTCGAGCCAAGATTGCATTTGTCATGCTGGACAGCACCCTGGAGATAGCAGAAAATACTCAAACATAATAAATATAGCCCTGTTGCACTCTTCAGCGTGCAACACATGAATATTAATGAAAATGGTAATGAATCAATATTTTTCAGCTATCTGAATAATTTATCATGCCTGCAGAACAGACTCAAATGTAGTCATTTAACAAGCTGCTAAAAAGTAAGCAGTTTCACTTATTAACAGACTATAGTAAGTAAATGAAAACTGCTGCATTATTTTATGGTTTTTTCTCTTTGAGGTTTGATTGTAGATGTAACATCAATACATGTTGAGTTATCTGAACTAAGATAAGAGATTGTGTGAACTGTAACTTTTGAAGAATTTGATAACTTCAGAAAAGATAAGGTGTAAGATTTCTGCAGTCTTTTAGCAAAAAGCAAATGTAGGACTGACTCAATATTACAGACTATGCATTGTAGCCTGACCTTTTCAAGGATTAGAATACAGATCTGTCACAGATTGCTACACTTATTTACTGATATTAATTAACACAGAAACAACAGGCCAAAACACCAGCCTTTTCTTTCTCCTACCTGCAGATCTTTGTATTGACACACATGGTATCAATATTAATATAATGCCCAAATTTGAAACTCAGTATAAGGACAGGGGCAGGCTATGCCCTTAACCTCATTTGCCAAAATGTGAAAGACAGAGATTAGCATAGTGGATTAGCATAGTATACTCTGAATTCTTTAGATAAATTTAATATGGATTGGAGCTCTTAATTTCCCTGCATTTCTGTGTTTTAATCAGGCCCTGAAGCCTGACTTTGAAGTAGCATTTTTTGTGTTTTCATGTTATCTATAATATGACATTAAAACAAAACATGGAAGAGACTGAATTAGAAGAGCATGAAAAAAATCCTTGCAGTATCTGTCTTCCTGATTAGCCATGAAGAATTCTCGTACCTCTTCACGTGGATATAAGGCTGTTAATGCTGTGATCAGTGAGGTCTCCTGACGAAGTCAGTAACAAACATTTTCTATTGGCACCAGATATTCCTCACACAAAAAAAACTAATAAAATGTTACAACTAAAACTCATAAAATGTTACAAGAGTGCCTGTAGAGCTCTCTCTGAAGAAAAGGCTGCCAATAGCAGCTAAAGTGAAAAGGAAAGTCAAAAGTGAGCAAGGTATTTACTGATTACAGTGTACTGGAACAGTTGCTGTTTGTGCCATTATTTCTTCTTAGCTCGTGAGTTCCCTTCTCTGTGCAAAACCTGTTCTGTTCTGAACTAGTCACCAGGGATGGGATGCATGGTTCCTTCTCACATGTGTCCACCCCAAACAAGAGAGCCAGTTCAATCAGCCAAGGAAAAGAGGCAATGACACTGGGAAATTGCCCATTTTCCTTAGACTTTTTTTTTTTTAGGCTGTCAGGACAGCTGATTCCTATTTGACACAATTGATAAAGAATTTAAAGATGGTTCCTTTGCAAGGTCTGCCATTAGAGGAAATTCAGTCATAATCACCAAATAGTGTAAACTGCTAGATTTTCACCCTTAATCTTTTTAAAGACCTATTACACACTTACCAGGAAGATATCAAACAGTCCTTCTGCCAGCATTTCTAGATGTCACACCTTATAGTAGGAAACCCAGGTGGAAACTGGGTTTATTCTTTGTGAAATCAAACCAAAATTAAATTCAGGGGAAAAAAACCAAACCAAAACAAATAGACTTCACCTGGAGGTCTCTGATTACAGGAGAATGATGAAGTCTTCTGTAATCAAATCAGTCTAAAGCAAATCATGTAAGGCTGGAATTGCACAGAGAAAAGGACCTGAATAGATAAGAGTCTTTAGTAAAGATGAAGTTTTGGAAGGTGAGAGGGAGTAAGCACAGACTCATTAGGTGTCTTTTCATTTAAGGTTCTTATGAACTTCAAAATCCCAGAGCCTGGAAATGTATTGGAATATTGAGTATTGGAATGCTGCATATCTCTCTTTTCAAAGTAACTTTTATTTCTACAGAGAAAAATTAGATTTTTTTTTTTCTTAAGTGTATCCTCTGAGGAATCCAAAATTAAACAAAAAGTATGCCTGTTTGGTTTTGCAGATCTTTGCCTTTGAAAATGAGGCATTTACATATATTTTGCATAGAATACTGCTATTTAAGACAGTTTTGCTTTTATTTTGAAAATGTATATCCATTTAAAAGGTTTAGACTTCTGACTACTTCACTGTCACTCAGTCTTACAGGGCCATAGGATGGATGTGCTCTCAGCAAGCAGTGAGAAGTAAACCCATTCCCCATAAATGCAGAGATTCATCCCCTAATAATTCCAGTGGACTGCTAAAATCATTCTACGAGTTCCTCAGTGCTGTCACTGAACCTGATGGCCCCTGGGCTTTGCTGGTGCACAGTGGAACTGCTCTACAGTGGCAGATACAGATACAGTACTTATATTTCATTTCACGTAATATATCAGACATGCTAAACAGATCTGAAAGGCTGAGAGCTCCTTAATGGGCGGTAACTTTTTGCTACTGTGTCAGCATAAATGTAAATGTCTTGTGAAACACGGAACAACTGATTTATGACAGGTAATAAGTCTTAAAATATGTTCACAGCAGCAATGCTTTCAACCCCTACCTGCAGCAACTCTAATAAAAACTGTGACTTTTATAGACCCGTGCTCCTTTTGCTTTAAGTCTCAATCTCAAGTACTTCTAAGGCCTTCAGAGCCCTAGACAGATGGCTGTAAATATTTGAAATGCCCTCTGGGTCTACTACAGGCATTTTTTTTTTTAGTCTTACATTACCTGAATGAGGTTGGGATGTTATCTTTCATTCTCAAGAAATGCCAGGGAATTAACACTCAGGCTGTTCTTTTGGGTAAACTGCCCAGCCTTGATTATGCAAAGTCAATAATACTCTTGCTAATGAGAGCAGGAATGAAGCACAGCACACAGGAATGAAGTAGGACTCTGTAAGAACTCGGGAAAGCCCCCAATCTGCTGTAGCAGGGGAGTGCTGTGACTCAGCAAAGGAGCAAAATACCCAGGTCAGAATCATAAATAGGGATTTATTTCTGGAAGAGCAAGCAGTGACAAAGAAAAGGGGGCTGAAGGCTTGTATGGGAAGTAAGTATTGTGGGAACTTTCTCCACAGAATGGGGACACCTTCAGAATGGTTGAAAGATTTGCTTGCTTCTATTTATTGCCTTATTTCTCTCGTAGCTTACTCTCTGCCTTTTTCCCTTTTGCTTGTGTAAAAAAAGGTCAATCAGGAGACTGTGAATGAAAGATTTTGTGTGCCTTTATTATCCCATTTGTGAAAAAGAATTGAAAACTGGTCTCTACAGTGTTTGTGTATCAGAATCATCCTGCTTAAACTGGGACTATTTCTTTTGAAGGGATGTATTTGAATCCTGTGGCAGTGTATGAGCTCTTCTGAACTGGACACAGTGGCCTAATGTACCTCAGACTTGACTGTTAAGCATCAGAAAAATCCGTTCCCTCTGCAGGCCCACAAATTTACAAAATTTTTGAATCTCTTAAACTTGTACTTACTAAAACCAGGCTTTTGTTGAAACATCTGAACATTATCAGTATTGACTTACTGGAGCAAGCCCAGAGGAGGCCACCAAGATGATTAGAAGGATGGAGCACCTCTCCTACGAGGAAAGGCTGAGAGGACTGGGATTGCTGAGCCTGGAGAAGGGAAGTCTTTGGGATGACCTAATTGTGGCCTTTCAGTACATGAAGGGAGCCCACAGGAAAGATGAAGAGGGACTATTTACAAAAGTGTGTAGTGACAGGGCGAGGAGGAATGGATCCAAACCAAAAGAGTAGGTTTAGATTTTACATTAGGAAAAAATTATTTACTGTGAGGGTGGTGAGGCACTGGTACAGATAGTCCAGGGAAGTTGTGGATGCCCCATCCCTGGAAGTGTTCAAGGCCAGGTTGGAACAACCTGATCTAGTTGAAGGTGACCCTGCCCATGGCAGGGGCTTTGGAATTAGATGATCATTAAGGTCCCTACCAACCCAAACCAGTCTGTGATTCTATCATTGCAGCTTACTTTGAGACTGGCAGTTATGCATATAACAGGGAGTGAGAGTTAAGTACTTTCAAGCCTCAAGGGACTGAAATTTTTAATTTCTACTAAAAACACCTATATGTCTTCAACTTCAGTACTTAAAAACAAGAAAGGAAAATTTAAAATGTTTAAATGTTTGGTCTTTTTTCTTAAATTTTCCTTGAATTTCATCACAGAGAACAGCAGCATAGTTCTCAAACAATCTCTTCCACTGACTGAAAACTGTGGTATTCAGCACAGGCAATGGAACTCAGCTGCCTGATTGCATATTTTGAATTAAGCCTGATGAGTTTGACACTACATATCTTTCACCAGAATTAAAGGGACTGTTCAGACACTACTAACCTTCCAACAGCTGAGCCTGACTCAATCGACCTCAGTTTGCAAAAGGGCTGCCTAGAAAGCAGGACAATGCTGAGGTTGGATGAGTTTTAATATATGAAGTGCTATGACAAACAGCAGGAGCACCTGCAAAACACAACCTCATGTTTTGTTTACTTTCTGCAACATTGGAGGCAATCCACTGGAGAAACATCCTGAGCTCAGTTCTTCCCTTCTACAACAAAGGAGATAGGCTGCTACCCATTCCTGCATGCCTGTGGGACTGGGCATGATTAAGATCTTCTATGGACGTCTGTAAGACAACAAAGTCATAGCCCAGCCTCCACAGCAGTCCTGACAGTGGGTACAATTGTGGAGGAGGGCACATGAAATCAGAAACTAGCTGCAAAGTGTTGTTCAAGTTTGATGCTGCTGAAACAGGGAATCAGAATGGCCTTCATGGCCACCCTGTCACTGTACATAGGCTATAATGGCAGGCTAAGGCCCACCAGCAGCTGGCCTAACTAACATAAATAATGTTTTTTCTCTTCAATTTTGCTCCATGAGCAGCAGAACCAGAAGGTTTGAGTCTTGTTTGAGTATATGTGTTGTCATCACTGGAGTTTTACTCCTGAGGTTCATAAAATGTTTCTATTTTTAAATGCAACCCTGATTAAACACTCTGTATGGCAAAATATTTCTCATTGTGACAGTGGACAGTTAGAGTGGATGGAATAATGGTGTACTGAACTATAGATTCTCTGAGCTGAGCTGTAAATATTTAAGAAATTTGGACTGCCTTCCGACATTTTCCATAAAGAAAACATTAACTTCTAAAATTCTGTAAGACAGGCTTCGGCCCAATCAATTACTGAATACATAGTGATCAATCAAGTAGCATTTTACCAACCTCACTGTATCTGTGAGACTCTCATTAGTGCCCAGATGTATGTCTTGTGTTGTAAGGAAGGAAGGATGTCCTCCAAGGAGAGCAAATCCTACAGTGAGGACAAATAAAAAAAAAAAAGAGAAATTTACCACCAGCACCTCATATTTGCAGCCAAGACCAATATCTTCTTCATGTAAGATACATTTACAGCAATAAAAGTAAAACTCAGCAGGACATCCAAATGTTTCAAACACCTATTAATATATATGCTAAAATAATTAGCATCTGACACACAAGATAAAAATAAATGTACTTTGGAATAAAACCACTTAAATGTGATATCTTACTGAAATCCTTAGGAAGAGTCATTCAAGCTCCAAGGCCAAGAGCATTACTGTGGCTCCCTGTTATGACCCAGGTAATCCATTCATCATGCTGCGTTTCAAGGGACTTTGCATCCTAGAAGGGTCATTTGAGTCACTAGATGTAATTTCACATCCTTGTACATATCTAGATTTTCTTTCATGTACAGCCAGTCAGACAGAAAACCCTAAAACTCCTCATACACTGTAATAAACTTGACTTTGGTCACAAATGACTGAACTCCTTAAAAATAGTAATGCAACAGAGAGAAAAGGAAAGGTCTCAGACACAGCCATCATCCCTCTACCCTGCAATAGTTAGGAACTTACAAGGTAATCCAAGGAACTGGATGGATTAGTTCCAAAGAACAAAATCCACCCCTGAACAGCAAAGGAGATAGGTTTAAGTCTAAAGCCTCCTACTGAATCTCAGTGTAAAGTCCATCATGGCCACATGTTGGGAGAATGGCTTGAGGGGGTCTGTTTTGTAAACTGTCACAGATGGTTTAGCATAAATCTTGCACAGGACACAGGGTCCTACAGCTGGGGACATACAAAGTGTAGTATTTGAACCAGGCTCTAGGTAGCCCTTTAAGGCATTTTCTGTGTGCTGGGGAAGATTTTCCATATAAGAACAACTCCCTTCTAGGACAGAAATTGTCAGAGAGATCTTGCCCTATTGCTACTATTCATGACAGAGGAAATTTCCAGAGAACCAGAGACCAACCTTGTGGGGAGAATGCTGTGGGGAAAAAAAAAAAATTGAAGAAAAAAAGGTAAAAAGCTGCTCGGGCTGGTTGTAGCCATTAGATGGCACTGCAGACATCTTCAGCACTGCAGCTTTAGCACGGTGGGTGTACAGGCCTGTCAAAGATTAAAATCTTGATTCCACAGCTACTCTTCAAAAAAAGGATTAAATCAGGACTGAACATTGAGCCCTTTCACAGATAAAACCAGCTAGCTACAGGCAGCCGGTCTGGGCCCCACAGATGGGCTCCTAACACAGAGCAACCCTTATTAACTTCCATCTCATGGGGGCAGCGGGGTTGAGGTGAGGTCTTCCATTCTATCAGTTCAGCCAGTCTCTAGAGTTTAAAATGCAATAGATTAAAATAATACCGGCAAATCATTGCCTTTAGACTGCCTCAATTTCCTTAGAGGACCAATTAAAAATAATGATGCTCCAGATACCACCTGAAGGGCGAATTTCTGCTCCGTCCAGCCAGTACACACTTGTTTTATTGAATGGACCCATTTTTGCTTTCCTATTGTTGTCATTAAAGATTGCTCTAAATCTCAACGAGGCTGCAATCAGACACAGCAAACTTTTAAGAATGAAGCATCATTTATTCTACTATAAATTTTTGCTGTTAGAAAAGGACTATTTACAGATTTGTTTGTTGCTTTAACCTCCTCTCTGCAGCTCAAACATGAACACTGTATTTATGGCAGTGTGTATGCAAACTGTTGCCTAGACATTGCATCCTATCTGTTCAATGCAGGTTTTTAAGTCAAGACCTCAAGGATGAAATGTTATTTGCAGTAACTCTTCCTTCCAAAGTTCTTGTGGATTTTTTTGAAGGCATATACAACTATGACAGTGATTTATCCCTGCAAGTTCCACAGAAGACAACAGCTCTTCATTTTAGGCTTTAAATGCACACACTTTGGTAGATTATTCACAGTCCAGGCAGGCTCCTATGGACATGTTCTGCTTTCTATAAATGGTGCTGAGGCAAAAAAATAGAAATCTGACCATTTATTCAGAATTGCCAGACATCAGGCAGTGCAGTTGGAGCTGCCACCTGGAGAACATAGCAGAGTCCTAATGTGCTGGGCTTTCTGCTCATGAATTGACCATCTGTGTAGGCCTGGGAACATATTTCCATCCAAAACTTTCCATCTGGAAAAACAGGAATTCTGTGCTCTAGTTTTGTATATAGTTGCAGAGACAGAATCTTTGCTTTGGATTCTTTCATCCAGACTACTAGTAGAAAGAAAATAATGATGACTTTTGAAGATACACTGACAACAATCCAGCAAATAAGCACACACTGTGGTGCTGTGTTAAACTGGGAAATCTAATCCTTTTTGTTTTCACAGCCTGGCCATAATCAAATCCACATGCTAAATGTTTATATGAATCATGGTATCTTCAACAAACTACTATATGTTCAAATTGCAGATTCAGAATAGATTATCATCTCATGTCCATCCTTCTCACTACTGTTAGTTTTCAAAATACACAGTTTTATGCCTCATGGTGTGATACATTATTGACCCCACTTATGCAGACTCCTTCATGTAGCACATGCTAGTGGTTGTACAGACATAGGTTAAATCTCCATCCCAGTCTGTCCTGCTATGTGGGGTAAGTGGGCCAAAATGAATCCTACAGTTCACATGTTGGATACACAGCTGTGGGGCTGCCTCGCTGTTACCTGGAGACATACACAGTCATCTTCTCAAACTCAAAGGAAGGATCTTTTTTAATATTTCAAGATATATGGATTTGCATTTATTAATTCCCTCATTGCCTGCCAGGACTTATGAAATAGAAAGAATTTTTCAGTTTAGACTGATAGCAGGCATCAATTACAGAATATTCCTAAAGCAGAAGCCTAAAAATTGATGGACAGTTTTTAAAAGTTTTTTAAAGCTACTCCTCCAAGTGGAAAGTAAGCTAAGCGTGCGTGGCCCCTTTGTAACATGGCCAAGCTAAATAATAGTTGGACATTCCAACAGAAAACAGACCCTACATTCCTGCCATGCAGTACCATCCCTGCTACATTAGTACATATGAAATGATACAATTATTTCTGTGACTGTGTGTAGTAATCTTCAGGCATGAACATTGTGTTCCTCTCACCCCACTGTGTAAGAGTGAGTTGGGAGTAATTCCATAAAAGCCAGGGGCAGTGAACCTCTGTAAAGCTGTTAAGATCTTGTATATTCCAGTGCACAACAAGAGAAGGCTTTCCTGCCTGTATTGTTTCCTCTCCATTTCTACCCTGTGACATATTGTCTGCATTCAGCATCTGTGAAATAGTTGGATTTATTTATGACTTAATTCACTAAAACATAACTGCAGCTGTATATTTTAAGAGCAACAGTGACAATCAGAATATTTTACACCAAGGTTATAACAAAAACAGGGCATTCACCTTTATGCCATGCCTGAGGATGTTTATTTTTCAAGTAATATATGAGCATGTGGAATATTTCTGTTTTCAAAAAGTACACAAGATTTTATACAGAATGAGTACGGGATTCTGACTGTGAAGAGGTGACATTTTCCAGTACAGTAGTAGAGATGTCACATTTTCCAATATACTAACCAGTGATAGCAATAAATCTAGTAGGCTCCACAAAACTGGATTTACTTTGCCAGTACAACATCACTACTAGTCTTAGAATTGGTAAAATAATATGAGCTTCAGAAATACACTTTAGGACAAGATTAAAGAGGCCGTGCATTATACCCCAAGGAACTGTACATTATTCAGTACAGTTGCAATGTCATCAGAATGCAACAGTTCAGAGGCACAGGGTGTTGGAAAAACCACAGATGTCAGCTGCTCTCTTACAGTTAATGTTTTGATAATATTTGATCAGTCTTGATGACTAGGAGAAATGCTCAAAGACTGGAGGAAAACAAATGTCACCCCTAAGTTAAAGAAGGGCAAGAAGGAGAGTCTAGATAATACAGGCCATCCAGCCCCACCTCAATCCATGGGAAAATGATGGAGCAGCTAATCCTGGACACCATTTCTAGACAGAGTAAGGACAAGAAAATCATCAGTAGTCAGCATGGCTTCATGAAGAGGGAGTTGTGCTTGACTGACTTTATAAACTTCTGTGTTTCTATGACTGGCCTGGTAGATGAGGGGAGTGCAGTGGGTATTGTCAGCCTGGACTTCATCATGTCCCTTGACAGTGTGTCTTCATAAGATCCTAGACAAAGTACTGCCAGCAGGTGGATCTCTCCTCTTTGTTCAGCACTGGTGAGGCCAAACCTGAAGTATTTGGCTTTGGGCTCTTCAGTATGAGAAACATGGCCATACAGGAGAGAATCATTCTGTGAATTTGTTTATTACTTTTAAAAAAATTATGTTCTTTATAGGCATAGGGACAGCAGGAATTCAGAAAAAAACTTCCATGGTGTTAATATTTCACAACAATCTCCTAGACCCTGCACAGAGGAGATTTTGTAATCAGTGATTTCCAAGTCTCTACTCCTTTATAATGAAACCCACTGATTTTCATTTGGTTGTTCCTGAGAGTTACAAAGTTTGTTTACATTAATCTCATCACTAGAACCTTGTCCCACAAGTGACCTCCTTCAAGATATTGAAGGTGTAACTCATGGGAAGTGCTATTTGAGATAACTCAATAATTTTCTAAATAAACACTCCAATCCATCTCAATGCCCACTTTCACAGGACATTAGAAAATTGGTTTTAAATTAGCTTATTTAACTAAAGGGAACACATGTGGCCCCACATTTGTTTTGAGTTAGAAATTCCAAGGGAGAAGTCATTTATGTTAAAAAAGCAGCTGAAATGTGTAGAGTTTTCATAGACAGAGTCTGCCTTTGAAACAAAGTCTTAGGCTTAAGAGACTTAAGACCAATTAACCGAAGGTGTGAAGTTAATGCACAGAAGTTAAACTGCATTAAAATCCCATGTGGAAGCTCTCACTCAGAAATAAATTGGTTTTATTTCACTGAAGCTTAATCCCTCTTGGATGAATTTATGTGCATTAACTCCCATTCTTAAGTTAATTCATTTGAACTTTCCTGAGCTTCCCCCTTCCATAAGCCTTCAAAAGCCAAGGACTAAGTAGCACTTCCCTTGGAATACAGAAGAATGAAGGATAAACAGATTCAGAGAATTCATTACCTGCCCATGTACCATTAAGGCAGGCAACTAGAAACCAGACTAAAAACTCAGGAATTAAAAGGTGGGTGGTCTTCACAGAGAATGAATGCACGTTCATAAGTGCTGATTATCTGGAGAAAACAGAAAGCAACAAGTCTACTTAAAGAGCATGATCAACAGGCAAGTGGCTGTGGCAGAGAATACAAAGGCAAATTCAGAAGTGCTTGCAGTTACCATGTCTGCTTCTTCCTTCCATTATTTTTACCTCTGCCTTTACATCTTGCAAAGAAGTGTGAATGCTCAATGGGTTTCCTGTCCTTTCACTAGGGAGAAGTCAGCCCAAGGGATGCTGGGTCAGCTTGAATGTGAGAATCTTCCTTGATGTATCACCAATTTATAGTTATTTCTTGCTAACATGTAAGTACATGAATGATTTATTTCAGCAGTCCCATTGACTTCAGAACAACTGCCATATAAATAAAGACATCATATGTATGTATTTCAGTGTTTCCAGAACTGTATCCTAAAAGAATAATATTCCAGTACTTGATCTTATTAGGCTAATACCCTGGAGTCTCCATGACGTTATCTTCCCCTATAGGTAATGACATTAAATTTTTCCCCTAATTTATATCAAGACATTACTGTGATTCCCAGCCTAAACACATGCTTTGAAATGTGACAATGGTAATGCATAATACATTAGAAAAATATTTATTAGAGCTTGCACAGAATTAAATTTGTGATGCTTACTGAAACAGATGTTAGGAAATGTGCATCTTGCTAGTACAACTAGGAGCTTGCACCAGATATGCTTCCTTCTGCCTGTTACTTTATTTCTGATCTGTTGTGTTTTGGAATAATTTGGCAAATTTTCAGTGACCAAAACAATGTGCTTGTGACCTTAATATGTGAGGTGAAAGACAATGAGATACCATTGTTTAAGTTTCTCCTGAGAAGAAATTGCTAAATACAAAATTATGCAGTGTTTTTCAGTACATACTCACTGCATACAGTTTCATACAAAATCCAACTGTGCTATTGCTCAGACCTACCTGTTTCTGCAGATAATCTTGTTCTCGTGCTTCTCTTCTCAAAAATCATGGCCAAAGATTTTCCTTGCATCAAAGGTAAATACTGAAACATGAAAATTGAAGGCATTTTAATTTTATAGTCATTATACACTTAAAGTATGAAATACTTATTCTTTCACCTTTTAATTCAGCATTAGAAATGTTGCACAGGTTGTTTTTTCAACCATAGCTTTGTTCTCCCGCCCTTCAATAAGTTTATTAGCAGTGGAAAGGTTAAAGAAGTAATTCTAAGGGCAAAATCAACTACATTTTGGCATTCAATTCGAGCTAGCATTAAGGAAAACTCAGATACTAATTTAATCCCATGCAGGGAAGTGTCTTCCATTTCCTACATTTAGTGCTGCATGTGCACCATGTGTGGATGGATGGGGTTAGCTGACAACAGGGAGTTGGCTGCACAAAGCTGTTTAACCTTTCCACCGAATGAAGTCCTCTGAAGTATTTAAAGAATATCTCTGAACACTTTACAGGAAAGCTCTTTGATTTGTAGACATGATTTACAGTATTTAAGAGCTCAGGAGATTTTATCTAGGACAAGACAGTTGAATGGCTCATTCCCAATGCTTTTCAGAACAATATTTATTTCAACATCTAAGTGACCTAAATGACAGTTAAAGCATTTTACCTCTCCTTTGTACTTTATCCTTTGTTTCAAATCTGAGGCCATCCACAGCAAATACTTCAGCTCATCTGCTGTGTAGTTCTGTAGAGTAAGGAGGTCCTGGCCTTTCAGATGAACATTCATTTGAGCTGGTCGCCCATACCTGTGTCAAAAGGGCAAAAATACACGCTTTTTGTCATTGATGCTGAGTTGTACTCATGCTAAAGCCAGTGAGCAAGCACCTGAAGTCTCTCCCACCCCTCTCATTTGACCCAGCTGGATCAGATTGATGGACTGTGTTAATTAGTTAAAATAACTCCTGCTGTCAGACAAACACAAAACATGCCACTGCGTGCTGTACCAATCGCCACTGTAACAGGGTTTCAAATTGTATTGTAAACTGTACATTAGATATAGTTTCTTTTGTCTTCTGAGTTGCATATGGCAACTGCATGCTATCAAATAAAGCCATTCAGAACTTGGTGAAACAACTTATGTGTGGACCACAAAACTGCCCTTTTGGGGGACAGAATAACAGAAATGGATCTTGGTGCATCTCTTCCCTCTTTTGTGCTTTGTGGATGAGTAGACGCCACATTCCATCCTCACTGTCACAAATGGTGGCATTTCTACATAAACGTGTATGAAATCTGTCGGCTACGCTGGGGAAGAGGGTAAAAATCCCCAACAAAATAGCCATGTGATCTAGTCCTTCTTGTAGCACACAAGAGATGTTCCGGGCATGTGCAGTGTGTTTATTCTGTGTATTCTGGTCTCCAGCCAGGTTTACGACTTCTGAATCACATGAAATTGGACGCTGATAATCACTCAGAGAAGTTACATGATCAAATTTCCTCTAGCTTAGATGAGACATCTTAATGAAAGTCACATCCAAGCCCATGTTTCCACAGGCCTTATTAAGATTAATAAGGCAGTGTGGCAGCTTAGCCCTTTCTCTGGCATTGTACTTACAGCCTCCTTAACACTACACAGCCTGCACTGTACTCTTGGTTTGGATGGGTGTGAGCTAAACATGTCTTTTTAATTAAAGGCAGCATTTTTAGGCTGATCTAATGGAATGGAGATCAAAACAATGCAAACAAGTAGATTGAGTACAGGTACTACTTTTGTGTTACAAGTAGGCTTCCCCATAGCTTGCCACTGAGACTGGGCTTACTGACAGCACCTGCCAATTGCCAAGCCCTGGAGTCCACAGCTAGGAAAATTCAGGGGGAAAAAGATTTCTGTTCATTCTTCTGTTAATTACAATGAATAAAATTCTTGAAAGTGGATAGACCTGTTATAATTTCTAAAGATTTTGCATTCATATATTAGTTAAATCTATGAGGAAAACTTTTTTGGCAGAATTTTGTGGAATAGACTCCAACTGAAACTGGAGGAAGAGAGCAGCTCTTAAGGGAATGGTACCACACATTATTACTCTCTGACATCACAGCAAAAGCTGCATGAATTTTCAAATAAAGCAGCAGAATTCCTTCTTAAATTGGAGATATCTAAATGCTGTGTGTTTTCCTTCTGGAAACCTTAAAAGTACATTAGATACACATTATACCACTGCCATTATTAAGAGGTTTTTTCACAGCGAAAAGAAATACCTGTAAAAGCAGAAACATTGAGAATATATGAAGAACTATCCCATGCATGTGCTCTGCAGATTAATATTGCTGGAATTCAGTATATGCTATCATATATTAGGGCAATGTGCTCCAGACATTATACAGACTTCCAGAGAATCCACTACTAAGCTGAGCAGAAAACACTACGAAGATTCCCATCAATGTGCACCATCAGAATCTGGTCTCTGCACAGGTCCCCAGACTGCAGGAGGGCTGGACTTTTCTGTAATACCATGCAGATAAACAAGTGGATTTCTTTTTTCCTAAGTTTAGAGTAATGTTGTCAGTGTACTTTCCAAGAGTGTCTCTGAAAATTGATTCTGAAGTGAAATACAATGTAAAGTCTGTGTGTGACTTAAGTAATAAATATTTGTGGCAGTGCCATTTAAAATAATGTAAGTTTCCAAGACAGAAAGACCTCTCTACATAGTATTACAATAATTGGGAAAATAAAGTTATATGTTTGTTATAAGTGTTATCCTTCTGTCCCCATGCTTGCTTCCAACCTGAGGCAAACAACTTATAATCAGTTAGGAAGCATGCAGATGTCCATTTTTTTTTTTTTAATTTGAAGTGGGTTTTACAGATCTAGCAAAATTATATCCTGTACTTCAGTGTTCAAAAGCTGCAGTATAGAATATACCTGACATTATAAGAAAGGCTGGGGATTCTTAGGTAGTTTCCACCATAGCATGAAAAAAACCCCACCAAGATAAGCCACTGAAATCCAGTGTAGAAGACAAAGGCCTTTAGATGATATTCAAGTGATTGGCTTTAAATTCATTGTGTATATTCTGAAGGAAATCAGTTCTATAATTGTGACTTTATTACTATTATTTTTCAGAACAGTGATTTGTTGTTCTGTCCACTTTGGGGGAACAAAAATAGACTTGTCCTCTTTTGAAATCTGTGGTTGCTTACTGCTTGGTCACCCTACTCTCCTTTGCTGCATTGTTTACAGAGCAGTTTTGGTGTTGCTGCTTGTATTTCTAATTGCAACCTGTGATTCCTTCCAGTGACTTACAGATTGTCTGATCTCAACCTGCCAAGCAAGAATTTCTGTTCATTGGTCTTGTTTCGCCACTTGGCATGACTGAGAAATATTCACCACTAATTTCTGTGCTAGTAGAGAGTAGAGTACTAAAACTGGTTACCCAGAGTGGAAATACCATCCTTGAGGATTTTCAAGATGTGGCTGAGTAAAGACATAGCTGATCTCATATGCTGTTTAACAGGCTATGAGCAGAAAGTTGGACTAGAGTTCTGCTCCTGACGTGTATGTTCCCATGATGATTCTGTTTTCTTGCCATGACCTTCAAGAAATGTGTTCTTCTCCCTGTTTTCCATATCCTCTGAGAGAGAGGCAGAAGTGGACAAATAAATTCCAGAGAAGAAGCATGAGACAACATAGGAAAGTTAAAATGTAACAGGCAAATTGCAAGGTCAAGCAGTTTTGGTTTCTTGCTTTCTGAGCAGGGACAGCAGTAACTTTGGCCTCTTAGCACAGACTGATAGATATAAGGTTATCCTGCAGTATTAATCACAATGTGCTTAGCTAGTAATGCTCAGAGCCAGTGGTGATAGCTCATGCCAGCATTACGTTATGTTAAAAACCCCTAAAAACACCAAACAATATTATGTGGGGAACATAACAAACTGTATTACTTCCTTGGAAAACCAGCTTCACTGCAGTTGTTCTCCAAACTTGCTTTTCTATCATCTCTTCTAACCAGAGAAAGTTGCCACCCATTGCCAGCAGTGAAAATCCATAATTCATAAGAAAGATTATCACCCAGGCTTCAGGACCACTTTAAAATTGGAGCAAATAAATAACATGACTTTATTGGAGCAAATAAATAACAAGAAAGCATTTGTTTTTCATCTAATGCAATGGAGAAAGGCTGAATAAAAATTACTTATTGCATAGTAGGATTCCTGGGAATATGAAACTCCTGTACATTGTTTTCTAGCATTAATCACTTGTTACATAACCTGCTAATGTTATCCTTATTGACTCTGACCTAAAAACAGAAGAAGATGTGGAATTAAGTTTCAAGTCTAAAATTTTAATCTGATTCTGGAGATGTGATAAGCATAAGAAGTAGCTTGCTGAAACACAGTCAAAAAGGTACTTTTCTGAAGTCACAGGGGACAGGCATAGCTATGTGGTTGAGGAAAGAACCCAAAGGCAGGTCATAGAGGTAAGTCTACATGCTTAACTGTGAACCTTGTATCACATCATGTTTTTCCTGCATGCCTCCAGTGTATACAGAGACAAAAATATACCAAGGTAGAGATTCAGCTTGCAGCTTCAGTGAGAGAACTTCCCCCCATAGTGTCCATGATAATTGTCTAAATGAAGAATTTCCAGTTATTTATTCACACAGTTATTGGTTACAGTACCTACAGAGTACACTGACCCGGAGAAGAAACATTCCTTCCTGAACTTGCTGCTAAATCACACAGAAAGTATTAATGGTATTCCACAAACATTAAAAGGGATAATTCTCCAGTCTCCCAAAGTCACAGAGCTTGCTATCTTGAGGGGCAAAAGGGCACTAAAAATTCAGGGCAAAAAACGCAACACCTTTCTCTGAAACACTCGCTCCTTCACGGGATTCAGCTGGTTTTGTCTCCAGGTTTCTGATCAGATGTCACAGAACACCAGATAAAATCAAAGGATAAGCTTACCAGAACTGTCGCAGCAGCTGCTTCCTGGTCTCTGTTAGTTTTGCAATGCTGACAAAGCTCCTCACATTAAACAGCATCTTTGTTTGTATTAAGACTTACTCCAAGTCTCACAAAGTTAGGAGAAAGAAAGGAGTACGAAGCAGAGAGTGAGCTGTGCTGCTGTGCAAATGAGGGAAAGCCAAGAACCAAGGTCTGCACTCTGGCTGTCCCAGACAGGGCTGGGCCAGGCAGGGGCTGACCCTGAAACTCTTCCTTGGTCAACCCCTACAGATACAGAGATTTCTCACAGAGCCCATTGCACCACTTGCAGTTTGTGCTCTTCTGCCTGTCGTATCACACCTGTGTCAATACCATTTCATAGCTATTTTATGTTTGTTAAATATTTGTACAGAAGCACATGCTAGTAGAAAAATGCAAAAGAAGACTTTTAGGATGCAGCATTAGCAGGGCATCTCCCCTAGGGATGGGACTGTGCCCATGGGGGCTCCTCATCTCTAGCACAGCCCAGGCAGGGACTGATGGCTCTGCGCTAAGCCAAAAGGAGGGTTCTGGAGCCCAGGATGTGGAGCTGGGCAGGGCATAAAGGCTTATTTGTGCCTTCAGGGCCCTGACAAGAATGAAGAACAGCTACATTAAAAAATGTACATTTTCCTGGGTTTTTTTTTGGACAAAGTTTTCAACTGTGCTATGGTAGAATTAAACAGCCCTCAGTGGGGCCCAGAAACTGAAATATTGCAGCCTGCTTACCTCCTTATGCTAAACTGCTTGCTATATAATCTGAAGTTGGTCAAATCACTAAAGTGATTTCATTTAAATTTCTACTTTCAAATATAATTGTCAGACAAGACTTTATGCCACCTGCACTGTAGGTGGTTTTGAAGTATGTCCATTACTTTCTCATTTCCTCATTACTTTCTCATTTCCTCCTCTGTGTAAGGAGAGGCATACTAATGTAAATCAAGGTGATGGTGTATCTGTCAGAGAGAGTGATATGTTGAAATTGCAATGTGAAGAACACATAATTAAAACATGCAGAAAAAAAGGTTTGACTTCCCCAGAAAGAGAGACAGCTGTGAAAAAGTCATGCAGGGTGATAGCTCCTGGTGGGATTTGTTCAGGACCCCTCACGCCAAACCAACACTGAGATGCCTGGAAAATGCAGTAGTTGCCATGGGAAATGTCAGGCAGAAGCAAAATCCAACAGAAATTAATAAGAAGGAAATGAAATAGAAGAAAGAGAAGAAAGCTGGGCCATAGTTTCCCTCCTGGTTTTCCTCTGGCAAATGACTCCCACGACCTTGAAGCCCAGCCCCTGCAGACTGTACATGTTCTGTTAGCAACACCCAGGAGAAAAGACAGCAGAGAAAGGAAATGTGGCCAAGGTGCCAAGGCCTCCAGTCTCGTTTTACAGTCCAACAGGGAGGGAATACTGCCAGTGCCCCTTTTTCAGGTCACCCCTTGTATTGAGTCTGGCTGAGATGGAGTTCGTTTTCCCCACAGCAGCCCTCACAGTGCTGTGCTTTGCAGCTAGAAAGGTGTTGATAACAGAGCGAGTTTTTTGGCTACTGCTGAGCAGTGCTGGCACAGCATCAGTGCTGTTACTTGAATTTCCCCCCCATTAGGAGGTTGGGAGTGGGCAAGATCTTGGGAGGGGACATAACTAGGACAACTAGCACTACACCCTTGTACAGGGACTGCCCAATCCAGTTACCACATGGATGAATTTCCTTGTCAGCTCCTGTGAGCAAGTATTGCATCCCACTCCTAAGAGGAAGGGACCACCCAAGCTTTATAGATGCCCGTGGTCAGAAAGGAATATGACATTCATATGGTCATCTAATGTAATGAACAGAAGGCCTCCTTCCTCTCTGAGCTTGCAGGAGACTGCCCCTTGACACCTCCTTTCCTGAGGGCAAGCAGCAGTCAGGGTAGGCAAAGCATTCATACGTCAGTGGCTGCGGGGCGGTGCACCAAGAGTGCCCATGCTGCTTCCTTTTGGAAACACCTTGGGAAGGCAATGTCTTTCCACGGCTCATTTTCTTCCCAAACTCCCACCCTGAGGAAGGGCCAGGCCTTGGTGCTTTTCTTTTGGAGAGTGGGGTTGCAGCAGCTGGGGCACCTCTGAGAGTGAGCAGCTTCCAACCTGCTGCACCTCGCCGTGCCCACAGCAAGATCATCTTCCAGCAATACATGTCTGCTTGGACACCTGGGACAACAGGGCATTACCGGACTCCTGTCAGCACAACTTCTGCTTCATCCACATGCAGTGGTCATCCAAACCCAAAACCAAATGCCACTCCATAAACAGTCTTTCCCACTTATCCTGCATGCAGTGTTGGCCAGTGAAGACTTCTGTCCTTCACCCATCATTCCTTGTTCAAAGACCTCCTTACCAGCCATCCTGCCAGCAGAGATACATTTGTCCAACTTTGTGAGGTGATTTCTATCTCTCCCAACTACATGTTGATCTTCAAAGAGGATCTCACAGCCCCAGAAACCAAAATCCTGCTGCAGACACCTTCTTTCTATGAATCTTGCTCATTGTTTCATAACCCATTTATATTCTTGGCAATCACTATCTGGTAACTACAATCTCAGGCATCACTTTGTGAACAATGTTTGTTCAGTTTTATTTTGAACAGCTTTTGATGGATATCCCCTCCCTTTAGAATTAGAAGAAGCAGTTAGGGCAGAAAGCATCAGAAGGATATTGGGTTCAAAGAGATGAAATCCCTGCCTCATGTAGGAGCAAAAATCAAGCACTTTCTTTTTCCTTTTGAAAATGTGGCCACCCCTCTTTGTGTGTAGTTATATGGATATATCATCTTATGCAAAAACTACTCTATTGATTAAACTCTGCATAAAACAAACCTGAAATTGGTTGTCCAGGCTGCCTGCTGCAGCCCCTGTTGCAGTACATCATCCTGAAAACAATACCTTTGTCTTTCAGCAAGGGATGACCTGGTGTATCAGAAATACATGGGAATAGCAAGAAAATAGAACTCCATAAATGACCATAGCTTTTTTTGGCAGGAGGGAAAAGCTCCACTGGGAGTTTGGGACTACAAATGAAATATGGTTAAAAGTCTACAAGCCCCTGGATTTATTTCAGTGGGATCTCGAACTGCCCTACCCAGAGTCGCTGGGTGGGTGATTGAATCTTGTGCACTTGATCAGAAGACTTTACACAAACATTCTGGTGAAAGAGATCATCAAACAGAGGAAATTTTTCTTTTAGAACCACAGAATCGAGTGTTGACAAAAAGTTTCAGAGCCATGTTCTGCTCCCCCAGCTGAGGCAGGGCAGCTTCGCCAATCACTCAGCAAACAAACAGCTGAGCCAGGAGCCTGGCAAAGCAGGGAGCACGAGACAGAGCCCCAATGAGAGATGGCTCCTTTGGGAGCTGCAGGCACAGTCAGACTACAAAGCAGGAGGACATAAATGATGTCCAGCATGTAGGGATGCTGCCAAGAAAGTAAACTTCTGATAGAGCTAAGAATTGCAAGGGGCCTTCAAGGAGGGTAATTATTATAATTGAATCACAAAATGACTTGGGTTGGAAGGGATGTTAAAGCTCATCTAATTCCACCCTCCTGCCATGAGTAGGAACATCTTCCACTAGACCAGGTTGTTCAGGGTCCTGCCTGGCCTTGAACACTTCCAGGGATGGGGCATCTACAGCTTCTCTGGGTAATCTGTCCCAGTGCCTCAATACCCTCATGGCAAAGAATTTCTTCCATATATCCAATCTAAACCAACCCTCTTTCAGTCTGAAGCCATTGCCTCCTGTCCCATCACCACAGTTACCCAAAAGAAGGGTGTAGCCAGGTGGGGTTCAGCCTCTTTCTCCCAGGCAACCAGCGACAGGACAGGAGGAGACAGTAGCTGTGCCAGGGGGAGTTTAGTTTTGACATTGGGAAGAATTT